GCAGCCCCCACTGACCTTGCAGATGGCAAGGTCTCTTTTCACAATTATCTTCAAGTCAAAAAGAACAGCTTGAAAATTTGTCAGTTAGCAACTGGAATTCCTGTAGATCTCTTCTCTACCAAATCAATAGCTAAAACTCAAGGCAAACAACTGATACTACTCTCAAATTTTTTCACAAATGTCACATCTTAGAAAAGAGTGATTTTTATGTCTTAGCAGACAGACACAGTGGAACTGCACCATCCAAAAGACTAATGTTCCCTTCAGAGTAGTCACATTGGTAGACTCTGTATTCAAAAACATGCAGGACAATGCTAGGCACTGAGTAGGCAGGTGCTCAATGTGTGAATGATTTTGGTGATGCTGCCATTGCTTAAAGCATTTTTAGAATACTTTTGGTCCTCCTAAGTCAAGATCTATGTTTAATTATCTTTGACAGTAGCTCTTCTTAGCCTTTGAGGTGACTGTTTAAAAAGTTGTAGAATCCGGGGCGCCTGGGTGGCTCAGTTGGTTGAGCGACTGCCTTCAGCTCAGGTCATGATCCTGGAGTCCTGGGATCGAGTCCCACATCAGGCTCCCAGTTCCATGGGGAGTCTGCCTCTCCCTCTGTCCTCCCCTCTCATACTCACTCTCTCAAATAAATAAAATTTTTAAAAAAAAGGTTGTAGAATCCCTTCTTCCTCTCAATTGTGAAATAAAGCATGCAAAAGTGCATAAACCATGAAGAGTTTGAATACATTTTAAATGTAAATTCAGTATATTTTTAGAAATGCCTATTCAAACAAAAATTTTTGAAAAATAAATTTTTTTCAGGTATTCTGTAATGTGCCTAGCTATCTGTGCAAAGAATCCAAGACTTACTTTCCCTGGACTGTTATATAGACAAACATATATAGGTTAAATAATCATGTTTCTTGAGGAAGGGCCGCACCTTTTTATCTTCAGGTTTCCTCATTCACTAACACTACATTATGTTTATGGCAATTTCCCAAAATTATTTTAGTAAACTTTCAGATTTACTTTGGATACAGAAAAAAGGCTTACTTAGAAAAATTACTTCTTAGAAGCTCATTTTTAAGTCATTATGGAAGGTATTACTGATGGACTGCCTTGGGGAATTTCTCTAAGGCAGGCCGCTTTCCCCCAACATGCCAGCAACAGTTGGCATTGCTAACACACACTCCTTTACCTAGACGACTCTTCAACTAAAGTCACACCTGGAATGAGGCATTCACAAGTTAACACTTCCACCTGTCCCTGTGGGGTTTTATTATTATTATTATTTCTATTAGTAATCTTTATACCCAATGTGGGACTCAAACTCAAGACCCCAAGATCAAGAGATGCATGAATCCAACTGAGCCAGCCAGATGCCTCCTGTCCCTGCAGTTTTAAGCAATCATGTTCAAGGATTTTTAAACCCAAACAGAAGGAACACTGAGTCTGGCGGTCCAGTTTTAATGTCTTTGAAGGTTCCCCCCTGCCTGCAGGGTAAAATCAAAGTTTGGTCAGCATGGTCAACTAGGTTCTTGGTGATCTGGTCCCTGCAGCCTTACCTCCTTCTCCTGCTCCTATACTTTTACTTAACTCCTTAAGGTTTCCTGAACGTCTTTGGCAGGAGGATGCCCTTGCACAGGCCAATTCCTTTGCCTAAAATTCCCTTCTGCTCTCTGTGCCTTAGTAAATAGTTCATTCGTTAAAACCAAGCTATGAGGGGCACCTGGGTGGCTCAGTGGGTTAAAGCCTCTGCCTTCGGCTCAGGTCATGATCCCAGGATCCTGGGATGGAGCCCCACATTGGGCTCTCTGCTCCATGGAGAACCTGCTTCCTCCTCTCTCTGCCTGCCTCTCTGCCTACTTGTGATCTCTGTCAAGTAAGATCTTAAAAAACAAAAAAACCAAGCTATGATGTCCTCTGGAAAGCCTATCTTAGCCCTCTGACCCTGCCCTACACTAACCCTATACATTACACATACTTGAAAACTAATTTGCCATGGTTTTCCTACCAGGCTGTGATCAACTTCAGCACAGGGGTTTTTATTCTTTGTATTTTCAGCAGAGAGCCTGGCCCAGCAGGTCCTCATTTTAGTCTATTTATGATTTAACCTGAGAAGTCGCAGATTCAATAAATACTATTTAGTCATTGGTCATATTTAAAATGTGAACTAGTGTAGGCTTCATATGTACACTTACTTATTCTCCACCTTCAATCAGATCCCTTCTTACCCACGTTGGATAAAGCAGGCATTTTGAACTTCGGATCCAGTTAGAAGTGGTTTAGCCCTGCCTCTCATTAGGTATAGTAGAGTTCTCAGTCCTAACCACAGCAACTTATTCCTAATTCTATGGATTTACAGTCCATGCGGCACCTCTGGTGTGCGTTAACTACATTATCACCTTGCAGCTTCACTAGCTGAAAGATGTTTCTGGTCTCTAGTTTCTGGGTTCACATTTAGTACACTGATTTTACTGCTTTCCGTATCAGACCCACGATTCCCTCATCTCCACTCCAGAACATAATTTCAGTAATACCCTCTTCTCTTTGCCTACTTAGCCTGAAGTATGCACTACTGAGAGATTTAACTTCACCACTTGTTGCTTTTTGTTACCTGAGCTTTATCTGGGCTTTGTATTGCTGGCACCCATCAGACTTCAAAATTCTGATGGGGACCTGAGGCCTTGGAAAAGCAACTTGCAATACCAAACCTTGGACACTCACTTATTTCAAGGCTCTTGTTCCATTTTATGTCCTGTTGCTAGTAAAGAGATGCTTTTGGTTCTCACTCAATTCACATTCAGAACAAAGAGATGACATACTCTTTACCAAATACTTCTCCAGTACTTTAGAGAAAAGTTCTAGTTTCCACCACAAGCAGGCTCTTTCTTAGAATTAATGGTCCCTATTATTTTTGGCACAACCCAAATGAGAAGATTCAAATAAAAGCACTTAATAAAACATCTTTTATAAAGTTATGAGTAGGAGATTATGGAGCATCCAAATAGAATGTGACGTCAAGTTAATGATGGCTTTTTTTGAATCAAAAGCAAGTCATTTATGACATGTTCCTAAGTTTAAGATATGTTCATATAACCATATTCTAACAACAGTACAAAATAAACACTAACAAAAGGAATTTAAAGTTTTTGTTTATAGGAATCAGGCCCTTCAAGACACTGAATTTTTAATAGTTAATATAAATCTGGTGTTATCAAATCAATCTGATTATTTTCAGGTTAACACTTCTACATTTATTTCAACTTTAATAGAAATAGATTTATGGAAATATAAATAATTCTAATCCTTATCTTAATATAAAGCAAATTAAGATACAATTTTTGAAATACTATTTTAAACCCATTACCGTAAGATTTTTGCTCATTTATTACATTTCATACCAAAAAGAGGGGAGGAAGTGCTGAGAGGAGGGAGGTAGTAATAAGAGGGAAGGATTACAAAGGAGGGGAAACCAAAAAACTTCTGGGGGTGACAGGTATTGTTCACTACCTTAATTGCAGTGATGGTTTCACAAATCAAAGTTTATCAAATGATACCTGAAAATGTGTAGTTTACGTTAATTTATACTTTAGTAAAGTGGACTGTAAAAAAAAATAATAATAATCTGCTGTGGAGAAACTGAGTATGAAGCAGCCCAAAGTACTTTTTTTTTTCAGACCTCCATTATGGCCTATTTTTGTGTGCAACAATTCCACACTAGATGTCCAATTTAACTAGTACTTATGAGCTCCCTTTCAAATAATATGGCCCAAACTCTTTACCAGCTACCCATTATTCAGAGAGCAAGTTAAAATTATGCTAAGATGTAATGGTTCTATTGAAATACTTTGTATGGATCCACCCACTCAGTAACCAAGCTTGGTGATACTATCATTTAGTAAGGAGAATAAACCACACCACTGTACCTTACCATGCTTATAAAAGGTAAACTAAAACACAGTCCATATCAATGCCATGAATGTACAATAAACATTACTTAACTGATAAGAATTATTATAAAAAAAATTTATCTAAATATAAAGCAAAAGATGCCAGAAAAATTTTCTTAAGAAATCTTTTCTGAAAGCTCTTCAGTAGAAAGTTAGATTTTTAATGTAAACCACATTTCTCAGGTCCCTTTTTAGCTTATGTTAGCAAATACATTTTACATCTGATAGATTTCATTAATCTGTTAACCAAACAGTGCAATCTAAGAGTCCCCCAAACATTTCGTTATGTGATACTGACAGAGCTTTGTCAAAGCATACTTGGGATGTGATAGTACATTTAACACTAGGTGATTAGATTGCATTGTGGTGTATTTGAAGAATCTATTTAAAAAAGATAATTTTAAGATTTATTTAATACTTTGTTACCACTCTAACTCATCCTTAGTTTTGTGGGGATAAAACTGTGCTTTTGGTTTTTGTTTGTTTTTAATTTTCCCATCACCACCAGTCTCAGTGTGAACAAAAAATCTGGCTTCTCTTGAAAGCTGGGAAGTTTGGGCAGGACCTTGAGGTAGAAACAGCAAAATCACTGCAGCCTTCTGAGAAAATACAATTTAAAAGAAGATAAAACTGACGATTAGCTTAATCTAATGGAAAACCTACATTCTTGCTGAGATTAAACCCTTTACAATCAGCATATATTTAAACACGGACGGAAATGGGATGAGGAAAGCTATAAGCAAATGCAGGTAAACAAAACAAGAAACAGCAAAATACAAATATACAGAGCTAAATTACTCTTCCAGTCAGCAATGAAACAGTAATGATTCTAAAATATGCAAGTGAAAAATAAAGTGACTATTTAACAACATTCATTCATTTAATAAACTTGTTAAGCATTTGATAATAAAAAGGATATTTTCCATAACTTTCTTTTTGTAAACTAAGAAAGTAATCACTATCTTTAATAAAGAAAGTATAACTTTGTTTTAATAAGTAAATAAAGCATTTTGTGTTTAGAAACCAAAACCTCGAACACTAGAGAGAACAACAATATTCTGAAAATCCAGTTTATTTTCCATGTGTGGACAGATCCAGTCAGTGTGATCAGTTTTTCTGCATGTGTAATAATTTATCAAAATAAGTATTCCCACAAGACTCTTCCATCATCTCTGAAAGTCCTGGTCTGAAAACATACCCAAATAAAGTTCCTGAAAATCACCTCTTAAAATTTGGAAGAAAGTGTGTCAAGTCTTTCCTGTAACGTTTACTGAACTACACATGGCTAAAGAGCAATTTAGGTTTTAAAAGGTGACTAGTACAACACTTGAGTTCAGGAAATTAATGTTTTAGTGCACTTTGCTCCAGTTTTAGCCAACATGCTACATTGTCCTTTTGGGGGCGGGGGGGGGGCACAAAGTGGACTTGAGGATTTCCATTGTACGAAAGAGATATGACTCTGCAAGCAAAACAGTGTAAGCTGCCTTTTTTCTTAAGACCTGGACATTTTAAGACAGAAGCTTTGCAAAACATTACACAATTTTTTATTATTAAATGAGAAAATCTCATTTGTTACATCGTCACATTGCTAGTCAGAGAAATGCTGCAGTGATGAAGAAAGTCAATGTTGGATCAACCAAAGTCCTCATTTCTACAACATTCATTTACAAAGAAATAATGTTCAACACAGCCCAACACAACATTCTTGGTTTTCTTCATAGTGAAGTCCCTCAAAAAAATCATCTTCTAATGGGGTATTTTACTACATAAATTATAGTTCTTCATTTTTACAATTCACCCCAAACTGTATGAGAGATGTATCACACTAAAATTTCTAAAGCTGTTAGGAAATCCTTCACACATCATCATCATCTGATGTGTCACTGCTACTTGTCTCTGTGTCATCATTCTCAATAGTGGGTTTGAAAGTGCTGTTTTTCCAGGGTCCAAACTTGAAGTCACAGATCAGGCCATTTTTCAAAATACCATTTTTCCTCAGACCATTCTTCTGTAACTAAAAGATCAAAAATAAATATATTAAATACATAATCTATCCTCCTCCAGGGGTTACTTATAAATTAAGAATACTGTAATAATTCAATGTAACCATGACTACATTAAAAAATTGTCTTCTACCCTGAAAATTCCAGATGATATCATTTCTGGAAAACTAGTTAAATACAGTTAATTGATTCAACTGTCCTAACAAATTATTCCCTAGGAATAAATCCTTACCTTTTAGAGAACCACAATTAACATCTACCAAACCAGAAAGTAGATAAATAAAATTAATGTTTATTATTAGCACAGTGAAAAGAGCATAAATTGTCAATTCAAACAGAGTAGGTGTGGACATAACCCTATCACTTGTTAAGGTACTAAATAATCCTTTCCAAATTTTCATTTCTTTAAGTGAAAGTTGTACTAAATACCTTCAGTGCTAACTAGAATAAAATTAGCAGCCATTAAGCTTCAGCTGTTATTTTTATTATTCTGACCAAACTGAACTATTAACACACCCCACAAACTGCTTTATTCACACACTACAGAGTAAGTAGAATACAAACCATTCCAGTAGGCAAGTATTCAAGTTATGTCCACAAAATAACAAAATCAAATACAGCTTTTGCTTAACTACAGAGATTCTAATATTGGGGGAAAAATAGTCTTCCGTTTCTGAAAATGAGAAATCAGAACTAAAGGGGTTAGATGGTAGTAAATAAGAACTGGGCCCAAAGATCACAAATTGGGGGGGAGGGTACTGATCCAAATTAGAAACAATTTAAAGACACAAAACTAAGTTACATTAATAATGGTAACATCATAATCTCTAATAACTGTGATCCTTTGAGTTTCTTTCATGAAAAATGAGTCTCTAGTAATTTACACCAAAATCTCTAAATACAACCTTCTGTAAGACCAAATCCACCCCTATATTACTATTTGTCTAAGAGCTTCACATTCTAGAGGGTTTTCTCTCTCTCTCTTTTTTAATCATTAAATCTTGAGTGTTAGGTTATGATCCAAATGAAAAAAGCTGCTTACATCACAGCTAATTTTGTTACAGACTTTCACAAACAAGAAATAACAAGTCTAGAGTCTTGGCCCTCAATTTTCCTTTTGCCCTTCCTGTTTCTCTATTTTCCATAGCAGATTTCCTTTTCTAAATTATACAGTTTAAGCTACCTCCCCTTCACTTTGAATAAATGACCTCGTACCACCTTTACTAAGAAAAACCAAAGCCCATGTATGCATCCCCTGGTGTTCTCAGCCACTGTGATGAGTACAAACACAACCTGACCTTTTCTTAAAGGTACATCTTTACCACCCCCTAAAGTTCTATCCTTGCTTTTCACATACTTATCATCAATGCTATCTCATCTTTCCACAGCCCGAAATCAGCTGGAGAACTTAGTGATTTTAAAGAAGGGGGAGGTGGCACTTGGGTGCTCAGTCAGTTAAGAGTCTGACTTCAGCTTGGTTATGATCTCGGGGTCCTGGGATGGAACCCCCTATAGGGCTCTATGTGCAGCACGGAGTCTGCTTGTCCCTTTCCCTCTCCCCCCATCATGTGGACTCTGTAATAAATAAAATCTTAAAAAAAAAAAACTAAATTTTTTTCTCTAAATGTCTGCACTGTCCCCACAAATATCTAACTTAGCATGTTCTTTTTAAAAGCCTCCTAAAAGGGACGCCTGGGTGGCTCAGTTGGTTAAGCGGCTGCCTTCGGCTCAGGTCATGATCCCAGCGTCCTGGGATCGAGTCCCACATCGGGCTCCTTGCTCGGCGGGGAGCCTGCTTCTCCCTCTGCCTCTGCTGCCACTCTGTCTGCCTGTGCTCATGCTCTCTCTCTCTCTCTGACAAATAAATAAATAAAAATCTTTAAAAAAAAAAAAAAAGCCTCCTAAAAACTAGCTCCTCCTGTATTTTTGTTTCTAATGATACAATTAGCAGTTCAGAGCTTAAAATTTTCAAAATCCTACTGATTCTATTTCAGATCTCAGTCTCATCAAGACCGTGTTTTACTATCATTTCTCCCTCCTCTAATTATTACAATATATTCCCAATTAATCATCCTGATTCTGGTCTTCCAAACTGCCCTTCCAATGTATACTTTATACTACACCTTTATTCCATTATGTACAAATGACTGTTTCACATCCCTTAAACACACATACACACGCACACACACACACACACAAATACCTCCAACTCCTTGATCTCCTGCACTCACCGTATTTTGAAATCACATTCTGCTTTACATGGAAATCCCTCTAACCACATTAAAATGTTGCTCTATGAAGGACCTCATCTATGTAAAAGTCCGTAATATCTTGGGCAAAATTTAAAAAACGGGAGTTTGAAATCAGAGATTCCTCTGTTAACATTTAAAATATAAATCCTTTAATAAATAGCATCAAGCCCTAATGATTTTTCAGGTACTTGTGTCAAATGGTATGTCTTCATTAATATGAACGTATCCATGTTATTAGTTTAGGATAATCTGGACATTATACTTACATGCCACCACTCTCCAACATACAGAATGCACAAAATTTTTTTATCACTCTGTAGGATTTTATCTACCTGCCCAGTTATCGTGAAGGTGAAAGCCAACTCTCTTTGTCAGATAAATATTTATGTTCTTTGGAACTACTACCTTATGGTAATGGTACCTGGTGGCTTTCTCTTGATGGCTTTCACCAGATTCAGAACTGTTTAAACAGATTTACAAACTGATAAATCCATACAGTGAACTACTAATCACCAAACATGGATGAGTTTCAAAAGCATAAAAGCAGCCAAATCTAAAACTACACAGTACTTGGTTCAATTATTGAAACATTCCAGAGACATATTATGGTGACAAAAACAAATCAATGTCTGTCAAGGACTATAGCTGGGAGTAGAAGAATTAAATGCCAGGGGGGGATGATTGTTATACATCTGTCATCTGTCAAAACTCATCCCACTGTGCACTTAAAGTCAACGTTTTTATGTAAAATATTAAGTATAAAACACAAGACCAAAAAAAAAAAAAAAAACCTTAAAACTACTACACATCATTAACTTCACAACCATGTTATCAAAAATAACATGAGGCACTAAGAACTTCTGAATAAAAAATTTAAGCTGGGAAGGAAGAAATGTGAAATTGGAGAAAAGTAAAATTATCTGTTCACAGAGACATGACCTTAATATGTAGAACACCCTGAAGATTCCACATAAGAATTAAGAACAAATACAGCAAGGTTGCATACTGAAGATCAACACACAAAAGTCAGTTGTGCTTCCTTAACAACGAATAATCCAAAAAGGAAGTAAGAAAACAATTCTATTTACTACTGTATTAAAAAGAATAAACACTTAGAAATAAATATAAGGAATAAACAACCAAAAGAGGCCAAAAATTTCTACAATGCAAACTATAAATCACTGCTGCAAATATTTAAAGAACACCAACATATGTAAAGACAGTCCATACTCCTAGACTGTGACTATCACATCCAAAGCAGTCCACAGAATACAATCCCTACCAAAATCTCAAAGGTATTTTCTGCAAAAGTAGAAAAACCAATCCTAAAATTCATATGGAATCTCAAGAGTTTCCAAATAGCCAAAATAATCTTTAAAAACAACAACTAAGTTGGAACTTTCATGCTTCCTGGTTTCTAAACTTATTTCAGAGGTGAAGTCATCAAGACAATGTGGTACTGGCAAACACACACACACAAATGTGGTACTGGCACGCACGCGCGCGCGCGCACACACACACACACACACACACAAAGACCAGTGGAATACAAAGCCCAGAAATAAACCCTTTCATATATAGTTGATCCCTGAACAATACAAAGGGTTAGAGGCACCAACATGCCCCCTCCACTCCATGTAGTCAAAAATCCATGCATTACTTTTGACTTCCCCAAAACTTTACTACTAACAGTCTGCTGTTGACTAGGAAGCCTTATAGATAACAGAAAGCAATTAATATATATTTTCTATGTTATATTTATTATATACAGCATTCTTTTTTTTTTTTTATTAAAGATTTTATTTATTTATTTGACAGACAGAGAGCACAAGCAGGCAGAGAGGCAGGCAGAGAGAGAGGAGGAAGCAGACTCCCTGCTGAGCAGAGAGCCCGATGCGGGGCTCCATCCCAGGACCCTGAGATCATGACCTGAGCCGAAGGCAGAGGCTTAACCCACTGAGCCACCCAGGTGCCCCTATATACAGCATTCTTAAAGGTAAAAAGTGAAAATGTTAAGACAATCATAAGAGAAAATACATGTACAGTACTGTAAAATATCGGCATCTAAGTAGACTCATGCAACTGAAATCTGTGTTCTTCAAGGAGAAACTCAAATGATTTTTGACAAAGTTTTGACAGATATATCCACAAGAATGAAGGCAAGTCCTTACAACACAAACAAAACTAACACAAATGGATCAAAGACTTAAACCTAAGGATCAAAACTACCGATCACAGATTTAAGAAAACACAGGGGAGGGGCGCCTGGGTGGCTCAGGTCATGATCTCAGGGTCCTGGGATCGAGCCCCACATCGGGCTCTCTGTCCAGCGGGGAGCCTGCTTCCTCCTCTCTCTCTCTCTGTCTACTTGAGATCTCTGCCTATCAAATAAATAAATAAAATCTTTAAAAAGAAAAAAAGAAAGAAAGAAAACACGGGGGAAAAGCTTCAGGACGTTCAGTTTGGTATGGATTTCTGTAATACGACAGTAGAAGTAGGGGGAACTAAGGAAGAAAATCGGTAAACAGGACCCCATCAAAAATTTAAAACTTTTATGCATCAAAGAATATAATCAAAAGAGTAAAAAGGCTATCTGTGGAATGTGAGAAAATATTTGTAAATCATGTAGAAACAGGAGTTAAAATCCACAATATATAAAGAAATACCACAACTCCACAAGAACCTGATTAAAAATGGTAAAAGTACCTGAATAAATATTTCTCCAAAGAGGTACAAAAATGGCCAGTAAGTACAAGCAAAGATTCTCAACATCACTATTAACCAATACTGAAGTGCAAATTAAAACCACAGTGAGATACCTACTTGGCAATCATTAGTATAGCTCCTATCAATAGATAAGATAAGGTAAGATAAGATAAATTCTTGAGCATCACTGGTGGGGAATATAAAATGGTGCAGCTTCTGTGGAAAAATGGTTATGGGTGGTTCCTCAAAAAGTTAAACACAGATGACCACATGATCCAGCAATTCCAATTCTATCAAACATTTCCTAATACTCTTTCAAAAAGGAGACTATGGAAACAAAAAGATGTTTCAGAACTTGAAATATACTTATGCAAGGAGAAGGATAAAAGGTGAAGCTACTTGGAAAGCTACTGATGCTTTCTACTTATCCCCACACTATTTAAAAAAAAAAAAAGTCAGAAACATGACAAATCACAGACATATTATTTATACTAATTCCTAAGCATTGCAGACTGGTTTAAAACAAAAGGCAATTCTGACATATACTGTGGTGTCTAATAAATTCCCAAATAGAAAGGTATAAAACCTCCCTTCCCTTAAAAAATGCTTAATATGTTGTTCTGATTAAGGAAAGGCAATGTAAAGTGAACTTGTATGATACAGGTCTTCTCACCTGTTCACTAATAACTTGGAATTCTCTCATTTCATCCTCAGTTAAAGGAGCACATGTTTCATCATTCTCACTGTCTTCTTGCCAGCCCATCTCCTTTAACAATCTGAAAAAATAGGGAAATAGGTAAATTTAATTTAGAGCTTCACCCAAGTAGGATAATACCATTTACACTGTGTGCAAGAAAACACCATCCACATCCATTTATAAAAAGTCCTCGGGACACATAAAAAAACTTTACTCTATGCTTTCAATCTTTCTGAAAATGAGCAAGTAAGATTAAAGCCCAATAAACTATGTTAAGATTTAGAATGAACTGTGCAACTGCTTTAAACTTTGTCAGAGTTTCTCCAGGCTGGAAATTTGCAGAAGGGTCTCTAGCTCAGAAACTAAAATAAAAAACTGCTAAAAACGTAAACTAAAAGTAAAAGCAATATTCCTTCTGGTTTTCTTGTTTTTTTTTTTTTTTTTTAAATATTTTATTTATTTATTTGACAGACAGAGATCACAAGTAGGCAGAGAGGCAGGCAGAGAGAGAGAGGAGGAAGCAGGCTCCCTGCGGAGCAGAGAGCCCGATGCGGGGCTCGATCCCAGAACCCTGGGATCATGACCTGAGCCGAAGGCAGAGGCTTTAACCCACTGAGCCACCCAGGCGCCCCTCCTCCTGGTTTTCTTTAATATCCCCACAATCTGGGGCACCTGGGTGGCTCAGTGGGTTAGAGCCTCTGCCTTTGGCTCAGGTCATGATCCCGGGGTCCTGGGATCGAGCCCCGCGTCGGGCTCTCTGCTCGGCAGGGAGCCTGCTTCCTCCTCTCTCTCTGCCTGCTTCTCTGCCTGCTTGTGATCTCTGTCAAATAAATAAATAAAAAATCTTTAAAAAAAAAAATCCCCACAATCTATCATATTCTTAGCTACGCATTACTTTTTTTTTTTTAAGATTTTATTTATTTGACAGAGATCACAAGAAGACAGAGACAGCCAGGCCCCGCCCCCGCAGGCTCCCTGCTGAGCAGAGAGCCGAGGCCACGCTCAATCCCAGGACCCTGGGATCATGACCTGAATCAAGGCAGAGGCTTTAACCCACTGAGCCTCCCAAGTGCCCCCACATTACGTTTTTTGCTTTGAACAACTGAGCTATCTTATCCCCACCTTATATTTTACAGTGTATTTACCTGTTGATATTACCTCTCAGGTGTATGCCAGTCATCAACCTCAACAAATATTTCAATGTGAAAGGGGCACTGTGTTCTACAGTAACAGAAAGACCACTTTTTTAAAAGCTCTTAACTAGGATCTAAGTAAATGAAATAAATAATATGGCTATTCTGTTTTCTTTCCCATTTTTAAGAGAATACCTCCATCTTAGGCACAGAGAGTCTAAGGAAAAAAAAAAATTATTAGCAGGGACCAATGACTTTTCTCCAGTCAGACAAATATGAAAATCATAGTCATAGCTGATGCATTTGACTTAACTATTTCAAAGTTTGTTTCTTATACAGCTACATATATTGTATTGGTCTGTCTGTATTCATTTTTTAATAATTATCTCTCTTCAAATAAATAAATAAAATCTTTAAGGGGCGCCTGGGTGGCTCAGTGGGTTAAGCCTCTGCCACTGGTTCAGATCATGATCTCAGGGTCCTGGGATAGAGCCCCACATTTGGCTCTCTGCTCAGCGGGGAGCCTGCTTCTCTCCACCCGCCCCGCCTGCATCTCTGCCTACTTGTGACCTCACTCTCTGTGTCAAATAAATAAATAAAATCTTTAAAAAAAAATTATCTCTTTTACATATTTGTTATTCTATTCATACCTACTCATCTTTCAACTTGAGCCTGCAACAAAGGTCTTGTACCTTTTCAAATAATCTCACAGAATATCAGTGCTCAGAGAATCTGAATAAAATTTAACATAACACCCATATTTTACATATAAAGAATCAAGACAATATAAGCAAAATAACTGGCTTACTTGATGGCAAAGAAGCAAAGAGAATTCTGGTTTCCTCCTTCCAAGTTAGTTTATACTGCACCAAACCCTCTAGACCAAAATGTCACAAAATCACTGTCAATTACTATTTCTCTCATTCCTTTTAATCGTTTAACACTTTTTTTTCCAACAGTGTCTTCACTCTTCAACTCAGACGGCTTCTCATGGAATGGCATTTCCATTCCCAATGTCACTTAGTTCAGAGCCTACAGATCTAGATAGGTAAAACAATCTAACTGCTTTTGCTAGATCCTTTAGTTAACTGCAAGTTAACTAAACAATAATGCAAATGAAACAAATTATTTCAAATTGTATAAAAGACAAGCATTCCTAATATGTCCAATCTCACACATTTCCCCTTCCTTCCAGTGGGTATAACTGTTAACTTTCTGGAATAGCTTTCAAAACAAATACTTTGCTCTACAGTTAGTAACAGACTGTGACAGTGATCTGGACACCTTTGCTTTTTCAAACTATTACCAAATCACCCATACACCACCTTACACTTTCATAATACTCTGCTGAGTGTTTCCAATTGCTTCCCACTTTCTAAAGAACAAACTCCTTAACACCAATGACCACAAATTCACATTTCTTACATTCGAAAAAGCATAGGTTTAGAAGCAGAGGACTTGGGTCACAATTCCTACTCTATCACAAACAGGTACAAAAGCCACTTCTCTGAACTATTTCTTCATCTCAAGCAATGAAGAAGCTTGAATAGATCTCAAAGGCCCTAGCTCTTCAATTTCATTCTAATTCCATTAAGGACTACACACTCCCTCAAGATACCTCACTCACTGGCCCTAAACAAACCAGGTATGTATTTAACTCTAAATATCCATTTCACACCCCCTTCTTGTCTAATAATGTCTCACCTTTAAAGATTTAGCTCTCAATTACTCTGACTGGTACTAAAGTCAGGAGATCATCCCAAACTCCCTTGAATTTCTTTGGCACTCATTTGATGCTTTCAACAACTATCCCACACCCTTAACATTCAAGCTATCCTATGGTGATGATATACTGAAACTTGACAACAAAACTAAGATTATATGTGTTTGTAATATTTTATGTTTCATGTCTTTTTCATTTTATATTTTAGCTTACACATACAAACTAAGAATTGTCATCCTTGAAAACTGTATCACTGACACCTGCTTCATTAAATTCAACCAATGTTAAGTACTTAATATGCACATAAGTTAAGAATTACAAAGTTTATAGGAAATCTGAAGCCACAGAGAAGAAATACCACTCCATTTTCAGAGAAATAAAACCCAAAATCTAAAAGAAAGCATTACCTTTGCTACCTCAAAAAAACAATGTATTAATGTGTATCTGTAGAACACTTACATACACTATACAAAGCAGAAAGAAAACTCAAGCTAAGAAATTTAAATTAAAATGGTTATGGCGGGGGTGCCTGGGTGGCTCAGGGGGTTAAAGCCTCTGCCTTTGGCTCAGGTCATGATCCCAGGGTCCTGGGATCGAGCCCCACGTCGGGCTCTCTGCTCTGCAGGGAGCCTGCTTCCTCCTCTCTCTCTCTGCCTGCCTCTCTGCCTACTTGTGGTCTCTGTCTGTCAAATAAATAAATAAAATCTTAAAAAAAAAAAAAGTTTGCAAAAAAAATAAATCACATATTGAGACAATTGGATATCCACATGGAAAAAGATTAAGTTGGACCCCTATACCTCACATCATGCACAAAACATGCAAAAAGGAATAAAAGGGGAAAAACTGATAAAAATGATTCATCAAAAGTTAAACTTTTTGCATTTCAAAAGGCACCACTGAAAAAGTGAAAAAACAACTCAGAATGGGAAAAAAATCTGCAAATTATATATGATTAAGGACTTGTATTCAAAATATACACAGAACTTTTACACAAGTCAATAATAAGACATATAATACAATTTAATAATGGGCAAAGAATTTCAACAGATATATCTTCACAGAAGACATACAAATGGCTAACAAGAACTTGAAAAGATACTCAACAGTCAACACTAATTTTTAAGGGAAATGCATTATTAAAAACCACAAAAAGATACCACTTCATATCCATTACAATGGCTTAATCAAAGACAGATGGTAACAGGTGTTGGTCAAAATAGCAGAAACTGGAACTTCTTGATGATAACGTAAAATGGTACAGCCATTTTGGAAAATAGCTTGGGAGTCTCAAAATGTTAAGCTTATGTCCTAGCAATTCTACTCCTGATATCCACTCACCCAAAGAACCAAAAACATGTCCAAACAAAAAGTTGTACATGAATGATCCTACAGTAGCATTATCCAGAATACTCACCAAATACAATCAACTCAATACCCATCAAAACTGAAGAAAATGTCATAGAGCCATACAGTGTACTGTTAATAAAGACACACAAGGTAGTGACACATGCTACAACATGAATTTGAAAGCATTATGCTAAGTGAATGAAAGAAGCCAGACATAAAACACCAAATATATGGTTCTATTTATATAAAGTATCCAGCAAAGGCAAATCTATAAAGAAAATAGACTAGTAATTGCCTAGGACATAGAGGAAAAGGGAGAAATGCAAATGAGCACAGGTTTTTCTTTTAGGGGAGACAGAAATATAAAATCAGAATGTGATGACAGTTCCACAGCTCTGAATACACCAAAAACCTTAACTGTACACTTAAAATGAGGGAAATTTGTGGTAAATAGCCCAATGAAACTGTTAAATAAATTTCAACATTTCTATACTAATCTCAAAATCCTAGATGTAAAACATGCAGAGAAAAAAGTAAAAATGAATACTAACCTGTGTTCTGCCTCAAGTGAACTGGAAAGAACATCAGTTTGTGGGAAGGTTGAAGACCGAATGATCTGCTGGGAAATTACTGAGGCATTGCCATTCTCCTGTGGAATTTCATTTTCATCAAAGTTTCGATTTATGTCCCTTTCTTGGTGAGTACTATTGCTGTTATGCAAATTAAATGAATCATCATCCTGATTTTTAGGGAGTTAAAAAAAAAAGAATGAGTTAGAAAATACAGCTGTTGAAAACCTTAATAGATTTTGGTTAGATTTCCAGATATAATACATAAGTATTATAATCATTAAATTTAGGAGAACTTCTCAGAAGACATAAAACTAAGCTGTGAAGGATACCCACAGTTTTCTGACTCTATGTCTTCACTTTATTCAACAAAGGCAAATCAGAAGGATGAAAGTAGGCAAGAGGGACAACAAAGAAAACATTTCTGCACAGAACAACAGAATGATAAAAAGCTGCTTCAGAAAAGAAATCATTCTTTTTTTTTTTTTAAGATTTTATTTATTTATTTGACAGAGAGATCACAGGTAGGCTGAGCAGCAGGCAGAGAGAGACAGGGAAGCAGGCTTCCCAACTGAGCAGAGAGCCCACTGTGGGGCTCAATCCCAGGACCCTGAGATCATGACCCAAGCCAAAGGCAGAGAGAGGCTTAACCCACTGAGCCACCCAAGCGCCCTAAAGAAGTCATTCTTTATATAAACAGTAAACTAGCCTTGCTTTCAGGGAGATGACCATTTTGATTAAAGTTTGTTCAAAGGTCTTCAATGGTATCTGCCCAAATATTTCAATGACATGTTAATGTCCAAAAGAGAGTTACTGCTAGTTCAATTACCTTCTCTGAGCCAGCATGACTTTCATCTTCATGCTCCTCTTCTACTCTGTCCCTTTTCAATGCTTTCAAAAATTCACTCTTCTTATCAGTGCGCATACGTGTCAGTTTGGTTAGACGAGGCTGCTGATTAAGTTTGTCAACAGGTGAAGAGGAATTTGAGCGATTACACTAAGAAAAAAATACAGAAATATTAATAAATATACGGTATCAATAACTACCACAATTTCCTATTTCACCCTATTCACAATACAAAATTGATTTTAAAGTCTATTTTTCTCTATCCCTGTTTTATTTATCCCACTGAATGAGTAAACAAAAGAACTTTCTTTAAAAAAAAAAAGATTCTTTTTCTTATCCCATAAAACAATTAAGGTCTGATATTACTAACAACTATTATTCTAAATTAAAAGCTTAAATATAATTTTAATAAAACAAAACCCAAACCTATTTAAATACGCCCATTAATACATGAGTGGTTTTTAAATCTGTGTTCCACAGAGTTCTAAGGCTCTAGTAACTCCAATAAAATCTATTTTATAATTATTTACAAAGAGATACACAGAGAGTTTATCAGGTAGGATCTCACCAAGGAAAATGTTTGCGGTAAGGCAGGAGGGAGATGGGGAGGAACATGTACTGGAGTTCTTTGTTTTTGGTGTTTTAACAGTGGAATACAACAGAAAATAGAATGTTAAAATCTCTGTGTCACAGAGATTTTTAGCCAAGGAAAACTACCATAATGCATGTTGGCAATAATGTCCACAGACCATAAGGAATCTATTACCAGCTGAGAAAGCTGGTCCTCTCATCCTAGTTCTAAATTTCTAAATTTACTGGTTTACTAAAAACCAGTAAATGAGAGGCTTCGATGTTCCAATATAGTACACAGAGCAATTTACAGTGGAGCAACATAGAAACAAATGCCTTCTGACCATGAACTAATTGGGGAAGTCCCTGGTCTAGAAGCTTCAGAAACTTGGTCAAATGACAAACAGATACTTAAGCTACCTGGCATTCAAAGTCCATAAAATATGCATCTTTCCCTTCCTCTTCTGTCTGGCCCCTTGAGTGTTAACATTAATAAAATGTCCATCATCCCCAAAATATTGTATGATACAAATCCTCATTTTCAGTCAAGATTCAATCTTACAGCATAGCATTAACTATCACAAATGTCAAAATTCAAATTGTCATAATTATTTATAAATCTGTGCTTGTGGCTGATGGTTAAGTGAGCACTTCATTGTATTATTTTCCCTACATTTTAGGATACGTGTGAATTTTGTTTTAAAATATTGGAATTATTCCTAAAGTGCAAAAACAACTAGCACAGAGCAAAGTATCTGAACCAAGTCTTCTGAAAGAAGGGAAAAAATCTCATTTTAATGTATCCATTTAATGAATCTATACCTTCTGTCCACTGTTAATTTAATTATCGTGATTAAAATATGCTGCATTCCTCGGGAATAACTTCAGATGACATACCTCTTTCACTGAAGTTGTTGATGGACTAAAATTCTTGGCAGCTGATTTAAAAGCATTGAAGTTGCCAACGCCATATGTAGACTCATGAGGGTAAGAAGTCCCAACTTTATTTTCTTTAGTTTGGCTTTTCCATTGTGTAGGCTAAAGAAAAACATACAAACATTAATGTGTTTCAAAAACAGCTTATACGGAGAACAACAAAGTGAACCCTATTAAAAAAATGACTACATGCAACTCATAAAACAATTATCTTCATATTACATCTTAATCATTTCTACATATTTCTCTTTTATCTTTTTCTGCAAATAAAATCAAAGCCTGGCATTCAGATAAAAACATCTGGCTGCACTGCTATTTTTTCAAAGTTTTATTAAACTCAAGTTAGGTTTGCTTTGTCTATTATCAGTAAAATACAAGTGGGAGCACAAAAAACCCTAAAACTAAACACCAAGGAAACAGCACTATATATTATTAAGTACACATATCATAGATTTATCTGGCAACACAAAATTTTAGATTTCATTTACTACTAGTCAAACAAGAAACATATACATGGACAAACACACACACCATTTAAAAGGTAACTAAAATTAATGACACACAATGAGCCAACTCTTTTTACCTGAAGTACCCCACCAACAACCCCCTCACTTTGGTGTAAAATTTTTAACATTCTTTTCCTAAAGTAACTCAACTGGTATCAACTTAAAACTTGCATTTTAACAATTCAGAACTTACTTTTGTAGGTGGAGCAGCAGGTTTAGGGACTAAGCCTTTATAAACACTTGGACCAGTCCCGTTCTTAACTGGTTGTGACTGAAGATTTCCTACCACTGGGAATCCAGATAGCTGTAAGTCTTTTGTATTACCTTTCTTAATGACCAGCATCCTTGGAGCTCTAGATTTAGGATTCGGAGGATATTCTGCATAAATAAAGCACGAGCAAGAGTTACACACATAAAATTAAACCACCAAAAAAACAACATATTCCAAACCTTGATTATATTTAAAAATAATAGCTGCTGCCTGGGTAAAATAATTAAGCTAAATAAGTATGAGCTATATTCCTGTTTCAGAAATAAAGCTATAACATAATCAAACAGAATATAGCAAGAATTGAGCAATGTCAAGTAACAGATGATTTCAGCTCAAGAGTGGCCTCAAATGTTAACTATGACTAAACCAAGATTAATGTACACTCTAACATATTTTAAAATTTTTTAAATGCAAATTTCACCTAGTTGCACCTAAGATTTGGGAGATAAAGTACATTATATTTTGCCTTCTCTATTTTAAAAAGACATTTTTCCTAATCCCTTCTCATTCTTATCTCACTCATATAGTCATTATCAATAAACAAGGAAATATAGTCCCTCTAATTCTAAATTTCTACTGTTATGACTAACCAAAAACAGAATTCTATTTTCACAATACTAAGTCATTCAAATATTTACTGGCCACCTAACTACAATGAAGGTATTATGCAAAAGTTACAGGGCAATGAATTCAATCCTTCTGAAGCTAGTACTAGGGAAAATAGCTGCTAACTCAAAGCTTTTTCTCAAGAAAACTGCAGCTGTTAAAATATGAAAAACTGCCCACAAAGTTTAGTTTATACATACCCCTAGAGTTCAGTTAGTGTAGGTATTACATGTGAGCATGTTCACAATTACTGTGGTGAAGTATGTCTTTCCTCCCTTAGAAAAATTCTCAAAGTATCAGTTTCACAGTTGGAGAGCTTACAGTAAAAGAATGAATTTAAGGGGAGAAAGGTGAGAAAATCTAAATCAAAATTAGCATAATGTATTAAGTAAGACAGATCCTGTGAGATGTTGAGTTGCCTACATGTTTGTGAGGATACCCAACCTCAAACTAAACCAAACTTCCTACTAAATTACCTCAAAAATTGAAATACACAGGGATGGGTAAGGACAGAAGCTCATCTGAGGCTTCAAACTCCTCCAAATATAGAGCTGGTATGATACTTCATTTATTTTAATGGTTAAGTACAAAAGAACAAGTACCAAAAGCAAAGAGCAAATCTTCCCATAGGTTAAACACATGGCTCACCTACTAAGGCAAACATTTCAACTTCTTGGAGGCCTTAAAAGGCCTAAGAAATAAAGGCTAAGAAAGAAATCTTCAGGCAAGCAACACAGAAATTAACTCAGCAATATACAGGCTTTTCTAAATAACATACACAAGGCAACAAAACATAAATTAAGAATAAAGATCTCAAACAGGTGAATCCAGAATGCTAGAAGTAACACTAAACAATTTAAATTTTGCAATTATTGTTTCTGGTAAGCACATGATGACAGTGTGAATTAAACTGTTAAAAAAAAAAAGATTACTTAAATTAGCAAAACTTAAAATTCAAATTTAAGAGAAATTCTTAACAGCCTGGTACTCAAACTCTAAATTAAATTAAATTTGGGGGGTGCCTGGGTGGTTCAGTGGGTTAAGCCTCTGCCTTTGGCCCAGGTCATGATCCCAGGGTCCTGGGATCCAGCCCGCATCGGGCTGTCTGCTCAGCAGGGATCCTGCTTCCCACCCCCACCCCCGCCTGCCTCTCTGCCTCCTTGTGATCTCTGTCAAATAAACAAATAAAATCTTTAAATTAATTAATTAATTAATCTCAGAATCAGGAATGAATGGTGCTAGAAAATGCAAAAGGTATGAAAGTTTCCAAGATCTTAGAGAAATTCAAGTGTTAAAGCAAAGGACACTTCTATCAGTACACCGCAAATAAAAAAATTCAAACATGCTGAAAAGCACTTCCAGTTCAATATGGCCCATTAAGCACACATTTCTCTTCTTTACCTTATAAGTAGGTCCTTATGTTAAAATTACTATAAGGAAGGAAGAAAACAAATACAACAGGAAAAGGGTCATCTGCAAGGGGTGATGTCGACCCACACTTCCACAGAAATAAGTAAAGAAAAAAACTTTAGAGTATCCACAACAGAACCTAAATGCTGAAGATGGGACTAATCAACCTTACAAAATCTTGGATTATAAACAGGACTTGAAAAAACCATCATGGCAGAAGGCAGAAGTGAAAATTTGTTCAAAGATCAACCACAAAAAAAAAAAAAAAAAAAAAAAAAAAAAAAAAAAAAA